GTGTGGGTGTGAGGTGATATTACTCATCCCATCGCAGGGGAACATCTGGAACAGGAAATGAACACCGAACCAACAACTAAGCCTGTGCCAATTACTGTCATGCGTGTTTATTGCTTTATATATTTATGCATAACAGGGCAATTATTAACTGAACTAAAACCATACAAAACATTTCTGATACTTTAAACTAAACGTTGAAAGAAATAAAATAAAAATTTTTAAAAATTTGTTTTATTTCAGCTAGTTGCCTGAGGCAACATTTCTCATTTTGCAGTAAGTGTCCTTTCTTTGGCGCTGTTTGGCAGTTTTTTTTTTTTTTTTTGGTGGGTGAGGAAACTGTGGTCGATGGAGTTTGATTTGATTGCGTTCACTCCAACCTACCACAGAAGTTTTTGAATGTTGTAGAAAAGTTGATTTATTGTTGATAGCTGACTTTTTTAATGTCAGTGTACCAAGGGAGGCAGTGAAAAGAACTATCAAGCAAGTGTTGCGTGATAGGCTTGTGGAAACTGGGATTTTACCAGAGTCTGTTGCTATGGAGGAGGTGGAGGTTTCGTCTGACATGGCATTAGGAGCTGTGTCAGATGGGGCCCTTCCTAATGTTGACCCTATATTAGCGATTAAAATGAAGGAGCTAGATCTCCAGATTAAGCAAGAGGAGCGTGAAAAACTACTTATTAGGTTGCGTCTTTATAGAGGCAGAGACTGACCAAGCTCTAAGACTATAACAGTTAAAAGATCAGGACCTGAAAGACAGGCCTTTGCCTAGGGTGTGGTCACGACTACCTTCTGCCACCTGCTGCTGCCCCTCAGAGCTCGCATGAGGCTGGTAAGGCTCGCATGAGGCTGAGGCAGATGCGAGTTTTGACGTTAGTAAGAATCTCAAACTTGTTCCACCATTTAGAGAGTGAGGTGGATGCATATTTCGTCACATTTGAACGCATAGCCACCAAGTTAAGCTGGCCAAAAGATGTGTGGGCTCTGTTTCTACAGTGTAGCCTTACTGGGAAAGCCCAGGAAGTCTCCTCTGCTTTGCCACTCGAGCAGTCTCTTGACTATGACGCCGTTAAAGCCGCTGTGTTGAGGGCTTACGAATTAGTGCCGGAGGCGTACAGACAGAAATTCCGATCACATGCGAAAACTGCCAAACAAACTTGCGTCGAGTTTGCCCGAGAAAAACGCACACTTTTTGAAAAGTGGTGTTTTTCTAACCGAGTTACCACTCTTGAACATCTTCAGGAGTTAATTTTGCTTGAGGAGTTCAAGAATTGCTTACCTGAAGGTGTAGTGGTACATTTAAATGACCAAAAAGTGACGTCTCTTGTTGATGCGGCCGTGCTAGCTGACGAATTTTCTCTAACGCATAAGAGTGTGTTCACTACTATGAGGCGTAACATAGTGCCGGTAACCAGTGAAAGCTCAGCCCGAGAAAAGATCTATGACTCTTCTCGTGCTAAGACCGAGACTCCATCCAACTCCCCTCGTAGGAAAAGTAATGATAAACGAGTTTTTCTTCTGTCTTGACCCAAATCATCTCATTTCCGATTGTAGAGCTTGGAAACAGAAAGTAGCCGCTATACGACCTAAAAGTACAGCTTTGGTTTACACATTCGGTGATGTTGATAATGTCGCTACTGTTACTTGTGAGTATCTGCCGTTTCTGCTGGATGGCACAGTGTCTCAGTCATCTGAATCAGAAGGGAAGCCGGTGAAGATTCTGAGAGACACTGGGTCAGTCCAGTCGCTAGTTCTGGAAAATCTGTTACCGTCGCTGGCTAGTTATGCCGGTGCACATGTTTTAGTTCGAGGTATTGGTATGCAGTGCCTCAGCGTTCAGCATCAGCAGGCCTATAGCACCATCGAAAAAGAAGCCCTGGCCTTACTGTGGGCCCTGCAGCATTTTGAAGTTTACCTTGGGAGTAGTGCCATCCCAATAACTGTATATACAGACCATAACCCTCTGACTTTTCTTTCCAACATGTCCTCTTCTAACCAGCGATTGATGCGCTGGGCCCTCAAGCTACAGGACTACAATATAGAAATCCGGCACATAAAAGGCACGGATAATATTGTGGCTCATGCGCTCTCCAGAAATGGGGACATGGAAGTTTAAGAGGTGTATTAGTCTTATACCTTAAAAGAGTGTGTAAGTAGAAGCTACTTTTATTCCTGGTCTGTATTCTTAAGGGTGGGGGTGTTGCGTCCCTGGACGTATTGTTGTTATTGTTATATTCTGGTGCAAATGTATCCGCGTGGTTGAGTGCTCTGTGTTGTGCTTAGTCACTCTCACTCACTCTGTTCCCTCTCAGGCTGAATCACCATCACTTGTAGCTCGTTATGAGAGCGTGACTGAGAGTGGAGTATATGATGGGAGTCTAGTGTTTGCTGCGGAGAAACACACTTCTCCCCTGCTCCAGACTGAACTCTTTGGTGGATTGTTGTTTGTCACCCTCAGATTGAGTTGTTTATTAGCAAGTGGCTAATATATGGGAGTTAAAAGGGAAGCTGTAGGGAGAGAGTGCCTTTTTCTTTGGATACTACTTTCATCCCTGTTTTTGGTTCAGTTAGGGAGTGGAGGGAAGTTTTATGTTTATTTCTCTTTTCTTTTGGGTGTTTGTGGTAAGTTAGTGCTGCTCCCTAAAAAAGTTAGTTAATTGCTTTGTTTGTTATTTTAGGCCTTGCTGTCTCCTGAGCCATTGCTCCCTATCTCTTTGTTAAACTCATTGTGTTTTTTTTATTTGTAAATAAATCTCCATCTTTGTATACATTTGAATTGGTGTCATTTTCACTCTGGGACAGAGGACTGAAGTGTCTTTCCGCTCTTTTTTTATTTTTTTTTATTTTTTTTATTTTTTAATCTATGCTTTTTTCCTTTGCTACTTCCCCTCTCAAACCCCTAGACAGGAGGGGAACGTAACCCTGGTTATCCTGGTTGATCTTGTAACTGACTGCACCATCTGACTGCAGCATCTTTCTCCACTGACCTGCAATAAGACATGACTAATTATTCATAACATCTAATATCTCTTGGTTTTATGTGTCTGTTTTAGCCTGTGTCCTGGCCTGAGGTCAATGGTGTTGTGCTCAGTTACTCTGCAACCTGTCGCAGTGATCTGGATTCATCACAGTGGACCTGTGACACTATAGACGCATCCAGACGCTCCTGCATCCTCACCGTCTCTGATGATCCCTGTCACTGCAGCCTGACAGCGACGAACTCTGCTGGGACGTCACCTCCAGCTCACATCTCCATACCTGCACATACGCATGCAGGTAAATCACTGAAGGGATGCTTCAATGCGTTTAGGATTTTCAGTGGAATTAATGTGCAGCTAATAACTTTTGAGATGGTTTCTAGCTGGTCCTGGTTGGTCTTGAATCTTGATTAGGAGTCGACCGATATGTTTATCAGGGCCTATGCCGATACTGATGTTTACAGATAAAGTAGCCTGTATACTGATATTTTGAACCAATATATATGTCTGGTGTAAAAATGCAAGTTAATGTCAAAATTAAGAATAACAAGGGCTCTGACAAAAACGTTCTTTAAATGCTTTTAAATTATTTTATTGGCAAATCAGTTTTAAAAATGACTGATCCTAGTAACCATAAAAATGCTTAATATCGGCACCGATAATCGGTCGACCCCTAGTTTTGATGCAATTATATATTATATTATATTATATATAAATTATTAAATGCTATTTATTAGTTTTACTATTGAGCAAACATAAAAAGAAAAAGTATAATCAAATGAGAATAAGCACATTTTAAAAGGTATCAAAATAATTTTTGAATAATGGCAGAACTATCCCCTTAAGTAATTTCATCAAATTGCTATCTAAATATTTAAAAGTATAAAAAATAATTACCAAAAATATATTGCTGCTTGAGATTTTAAAATATATTTACATGACAAAACAATCAAAATATTTTCCTTAGATTTCCTCATTAAGTGCTGTTTATTTGTTTATTTATAATATTTTAAGATTGGATATTTACTGTACTTAGAAAAAATATTACAATCTCAAAATATAGAATAGAATACGATCAAATTAAAATAATCACCTTTCAAGTATTTAATTCCCTGATTTATTTAATAATAAGCATTTTTCCATTGATTTATTGCAAATAATATATATACAGCCCACCTGTACTTCCAGTAAAGTCTTATTTTGGTGTTTACTTCCTCCTTTTTCTCTCCATTATTCTGCAAAACTTCATCAGGCAGGTCAAATCATGTTTTCAACCAGAATGAAAGACTAACATTTTGCTACAAACACAAAGCAACTTCCTTGTGGTTGTTTAATGAAATAGTGATGATTTATGGGAAATTCTAAACAAAGTTTCATAAAAACAACATCATTATCGGAAACCATGCGGTCATTTATTCTAAATGTATCCCCCTTTTCCTGTCCTAGAAGAACTCCCACCCCCTCAGGCTATCAGCGTCACGCCATTGGACGACACTCGACTGACGGTGAAATGGACAGCTGCACTGAACCAATCAGAGAGAGGCTTTGTGGTGCAGTGGACTTCTGTGCCTTACAGTGAACCAACTAGTCTGCACTGGGAGCATATAAATGAAACTGCAAGAAGCTTTGTTGTCACAGGTCTGAAAAGTCACTTTCTTTCCAATTGAAAAGTCATTTTTTGTTTCGCTGGTCAGTATGACAGTGGCCTGTTGGTGTGGATTCACATCATACAAAAGTTTACAGTTAATGATGCCATTAATATATTTATTGTCTTTGTCTGTTGTAGATGTAAGTTTAGATGATAAAAAAAAAAAAAAAAGAATATCTTAAATATGATTTTTTTTT